TAGAAAGGTCTGGAATGCCTAAAGACTTGGGACCTTTCCTAGTTAAGGCCTCCTCATTTCTTGCCTAGTCTATTTATTAAAACAGCCTCCTGATTTAGCGTCTCCCTCCCCTGTCCATCCACTGCACACCAGGCAGATGGAGCTAAGGTTCTACCTCTGATTGCATCATTCATTTCCAGCACGAACATTTACAGTCTAAACTCTCTAGCATGGCATACAAGATGCTTCACGATGTGAACCCACCTACTCTCTCCAGCCTTCAAGCCCACCTCCACCCCTACTACACGGAAGGAGCTATCAGGAACCTGAGGTTCCCTCACGGGCAGGCCCTTTCAGCCCTCTGTGCTACTTAACATGCCACTCTCTCCACCTGGAATGCTCACTGTTCTTTCTCTTCTGTATCTGGCAAACCCCTGTTCATTCTTTGATCACAGCTCAGATACTGCTGCCTTGGTGATGCCTTTCCTGATTGTCCTGGACAGTCACACAAGCCACGTCTTAGCTTTGCAGTCCCAGCACCTAGAACAGGGCCTGGCAAAGAGCAGATGCCCAGTGAATGTGTGCGAAGAAGGGAGACCACGGGCCCTAAGCTTTCGTCCTGAACTCTGTTCCTCCCACAGTGCTTAGTGTCTACTTTGTGCTAAGTATCAGTGCTGGTGGAACTAGCAATGCTATATGAAGATGACCAAAATAGCCCCATTTCTTCATTAGGAATGACGGTCAGGTAAATTAGGTAATACGCCCAAGGTCACAAAGTTGTTAAGTGATGGGAGTTGGGAAAGAAAAGCTCACATTTATGAAGCCCTTACTATGGCTGTGTTGAGCCCTTTCCATGTAATAAACAGTCCTGTCAGGTAGGGACTCCTCACCTGTACTGGTCTAGTGAGGTTATGTGACTAGCACAAGGTCAGAGAGTTTGGTGGTGTAGCCGTGATTTCAAAGCATATGCTCTTCTGATCCACATGGATTCTAAATTTTGTGGATAATTATCAATATGACAAAGTCTAGTCCTTAGGACAGGCCAAATACTGACTGAACACACTTAGTAAATAACAAGTATTGGGCTTTTTTCCCATGAGGATTAGGGTCAAAGTTTAAAAAAAGACAAAACCTCAGCCATAAACATGATTTCTGGGGTTTCCAGTTCACATCAGAAATCTAGTCCCACTCACACGTGTCTGAGTCCCATTGCACCAGCACTAGAGACACCATTTTCTCATCGGGTGGGGCCCTAGTCCACGGCTGTTACCTGTATCTTACACTCAGCTTCCACCAGCTGGAGCTTGGTTTGTGCCAGTTCTAGTTCCATCTCTCTCAGCTGGTTCTTGAGTATCTCCTTCTCTTCATCTGTGTCCTCATCTAAAACCTCCTTGGCCGAACTGATGCCCTTTACACGTCCTTCTTTGTTGAAAAATTCCCGGCAGCGCTCACAGTCATCCACTTTTTGCTGAAATTGAATGTCAGATGTAAAGGGACAAAGATGTAAAGAGAAACTGGCCCTTGCGGATGGTATGACCATCTCCTTCCTGGGGGCCCAAGAGATCCAAAAAAAGGCTCCTCTGCTGAGTATGACAACTTCTAAAAAACTGTTCTCTTTGAAAGCTGTGAGATAACCTATTGGGAAAGCCACCTGCAAGTGTACGTCCAAAGCAATAAAAATATTCTTAGGTTTTGACCCAGGAAGCTCACTTCTACTAAGAAAATGAAGCAGCAGTGACTAGATAAAGATTTATTTATGTATCGGGATTTTCACTGCAGAATTAGAGATAGGGGAAAAGAAGAAAAGAGGAATCTAACTATCCAACAATTGGGAAGCAATTGTTTAATACATCGTGCTACATGTATATAAGGAAGTATGCAGCTTCTAAAATGTTTCTGAACAATTTTTAATAACCTGGCAAAGTGGTTAAATGCTGGGTGAAAGAAATAAGACACAAAAATGTATATAAAGTATGGTCACAAATAAAATATATACCTTATTTCATCAAAGTAAGATGCCAATGACTGTAGGTAAACACCATTATTTTATGGTCCTCCAAGAAAAAAATTCTACTACTATTAAGCCACAAAAGCCATCAATTATAAAACATGTCCCAATTTCAGAGATATAATATAAATGTGAAAAAAATGCTTACCTTGGAACAAATGAAATTTTGTATGTTAAAATTAATACAGAACAAAGACTGAAAAACTATATACCAAAGTGTGAATAATGGTGATGTTATCTGCGAGTAATGGGACTACAGTTTTTTTTTATTTACCCTTAAATTTTCTAAATTTTCTGCAATGAATCTTAGTTTCTGAATTAAAAAATAAATTATATTTAAAAAACAGACACTCTTGGTTAAACACTAATTATGATGGAGACCAAGCATAAGTAATTTTGCTCCACAGACCCCCCAAATGTTGCTTGTGCAAGCAGGGCCGTAAGAATATACCTTTAGCTTAAGTACTTTCCCACGTTCCTGTCCACTGAGTTATAAAAGTCAGCAAAGCCACCTTTCAGTAAATTACCCATCTTAATAAAATCTGACTAGTACTGAAATACAGGTATAGCTTAAAGAAAGAAAGCACCAAGTTACAAAACCTACCAAACTGACAGCACAACATTAAAAATCATTTAAAAGACCAAATAGGAAAATGTTGTTAGCAGGCCTTCTCACTGAATTTGGATCCATTATAGCAGGAATGAGTTCAGGTGGGGAGTGTCTCCACTCTAAAGAACATTAGGGGAAGACAAATCATAGCACATGATCCTGACCTCTGTACCCTGCCTCACTCAAAATCTTACTTGCAGGACTCCTCAGTCTCAGTGTGGCCCTTCCATACACTGCAGCAATCTTCTCTACCACACTGAGGACACTGGGAAATCCGGGAGGAGCTCTGTGACACATGCACTTTGAGATCTAAAGCCAGAGCCCTTTTGGTCTAGTCTGTATTCCCTTCTGGAGAAAACAGGCATAGCATCACTTGCCAATTACTGAGCCAGGCCCTGTGACAGGCACCTTTTCAAGTACTTGCTGGCTTCTCTCATTTTTGAAATCAAGGTAAAACTGCCCCTTCCCAAAATCTGTTGTGCTGAATACAGTAAATGAACTAGGTGGTATAAAATCTCTATGGTAGAGAAGACTGAAGGACTTACCCGAATTTTCTCAATTTCCACTTTATTAGCTGTCTGCTGTTTCTCCAACCTTTCACTCAACTGAGAGCAAATCTAAACAAACAAACATAAAACAACAATCTCTTGAGCAATATAATCATCTGCATAATTTGGGATCAGGATAAATTCTATAGTGGGAGCTGGAATATGCTAAGCAGAATTAAGACAATACAAAATAGGCTGTTACTGCGCAGGAGGGGGGTGAAGTTGACGGATGAGCAGAGATTCCTCCAGCTGTGCCACCGCTGTATCCACTGGCCTGGGACTTGCAGGAAGCTTTCGGTGCCACACTCAATGGCCAGTGGTTTATGAAACTTGCCAGCCTCACGAACCAGAATGAGATACAGGTATAAGAAGGGACAAGACCAATTCAGCTGTATTCTTAAAACCCAACCAGTCAAGAGAGAACTGGACTGTCATACAACCATATGTAAACGTAATCTCGGTAATTCCACAACAGAAGTGCTCCCAAGAATGTACTGCGACTTTCATTTACTAAGTGCCTACTATAGGCTGGGCACTATGACAGGCACTCTCTATAAACATGATCTTACTGAATCCTCCCAACAGTCCTGTCAGAGAGAGATTATTTTCCATATCTTACAGCTGAGAATCAAAGAAGTGAAGTAACTTGTCCAGTGGAATGAAACAACTTGCCAATGTAAGTTAAAAGCCAGAATTTGAGACCAGTGTGTTTTTAAGCATTTGGGTTTGGAGGGCATACGTTTATCCAGGAAAGCAGGGCTTCTAGTGTGTGGCCCAATCCCAGGGTACAGGACCCACCTGCTTGTAGTCACCGATGATAGAACTGTTTTTTTTAATCTCTGATTCTGCCTTATCGAGTTCCCGACGGCACATTTCTTTTAACTGCACACATAAAAAAGCAAAAGTGAATGTTTTAAGGGGAAAATAAAGGAAGCTCTGAATTTACTGCACTGCTTAGTGCTGGGCTTTCCAACAAGTGCCTGCCCTAACTCTGGAAGGGCCCTCTTTTGTTGTCTTTCTTCCTTCACTCTCAGAGCACTAATCCCCTGTTCTTGATGCCAGGAGAGGTAGAGAACAGTGAAAAATCCCAAAAATATCAAATCTCATTACAGACTGGACTTTTGCTGAAATTCCTCCCTGCCAGTACAATCTACCCTATGAACCTTGGTGAAGGAGGTAGCCCAAACCAAACAGATCAGACAGCTAATGAGAGGGCTGTAATTTTTTCAGCACCTCAGAGTTTATCTACAAAGTGCTTTGTCATCCCTTACCCCAGGCAGTCCTGACAGACCCTGGAAGGTGTTACCGTGACGAAGAACCATGGGTGGGAGAGGGGAAAAGAGCCTTGCTCCAGAGTGTACAGTACCCAAAGCTCTTCCTATGGCTGCACGTCTGTGCCCCAGTGGCTGTGAAGAGCTGGCTCAGAGTAAGACTTCCAGAGTTTGCTCTATGGAGGAGACATCAAGCGGCCAGTAGGGGAAGAGCCGGTCATTCATTACATGATGTCTGCTTTCCTTCTGCAGAAATGCTAACCCTCTTCTTTGTTACACTCAGAGCAGAATTTCTTCTGCTCCAATGAAGGATGAGCTTTGACCCACTGTCTCCTCCTGGGCTTTAATTATAAGGACATTATGCTTTATATACAGTAAATAAAAAGGGCCTTTGGAGAGAAACTGAAGCCACCTGTCTCTGAGTTTTCCAGTGCCAACAGGAAGCCACTAGCTGAACTCCCAACTCTCGAGCATTGGCAAGACACAGAGGAATGTGAAAGAGGGGGATAAAGTTCCCCTCACCTGAGCAGACTCTTCTTCCAGCCGTCTTTTCTCTTCTTCTGCATCAATCAATTTCTGTTTGGTCATAAGCAGCTCCTTATTGAGTGCATCTGCCTTTTCCTCAGCCTGAAACACATATATTTTAGCTATGCTGTCACAGAACAAGAATTGAGAATTGGAAGGGGTCTAAATTACCTAGCACAATCCCATTTTAAGATGATGGGGAGACTGTAATCTGGAGAGGGGAAATGATATGCTCAAGGTCACAGAGCGAGTTCATATCAAAACTGAGACTAGACTCGTGCACAAGCGTCTGGCCCAGTCTCTTGCACAGAGGTCGTGCAAGGCAGTGGTTAGGAGTTCAGTCTTTGGCATCAGACAGCCTGGGTTCAACTCTCATCATCCACTAACCACATGCCACCTGGACAAGTCACTGAGAACCTCTCTGAGCTTCAGGCTCTACATCTGAGCAATAAGGCATGAACAGCACTCAGTACAGTACCTGGCATACAGTAAACAGTGTAGCTGTTTAAAAGGTAGCTGTCATTATTATTAATAGTAATAATAAACTCTGGTTTTCTTCCTCTAAACTCCCAGTTTTTCCTCTGCTTCAACCAAGTTTTGCATTTCATTCTTGTCGTCACCTAATAAAGGAGGCTGCCCCTTTCCTGGCACTCTCTTTGTTATCTTAAATGGTCATCCCCCACTCCAGTCTTTTTCTAAAGCATGAAAAGATCTGCTGGGCAGATCTGTGGCTTCTAGCTGACAATGATGTATACCTATGCCTCACATAAGCATTCCTAATATTGGATATTCCAAGGTTAACTGAAGAATGAGTACCACGTTAGAGGGCAGTCAAGGAAATGGGGCAGAACCTCGTAGGCACACAGCACCAGGTAGAGGGTCTTTGCCAGCCTCCTTATAAACAACCTTCTTGGTGGCGGATGGTGGTTCCCCTGAAATTAAACAGCGTTTCTGATATCACCTAGCTAAAGTGGTGTAGCTGAGCCCCTGTACCTTCCACTACTCTAGACTTCCTCTCATGTTATCTTCTTTTGGGCGAACAGGTTCCAGAGGGCTGGGGCCTCCAAAGGGGAACTGAGAAAGTCATGATATGTAAACTCAGAAGGCCACTGATTACTGGAAAACCTCAGTTGGATGTAATTGAATGGGGTCCTAGCCTTTCTTATCATCTCCTCCTCTAGCTCGAACCCAAGAAACAATCAAAAAGGAAACGGAAGATAAACAACAGTGGAAATAACTAGTAAGGAGAAAGGAGTCCTGTTAAGGACTTTGCTTTATTTTATATTGCTAGAACAACCTATTATCCGTCTCTTGGACTTAGTTAACATCTTCTGAGCACTGCTTTGGAGCACATGCCACGTGCTTATCTTCTCTCATTTAATCTCACCACCACCATGATAGATAATGGTTATATTAACACTGATTATAAGAGGTTTGAAGGAGTCAGGTCATGAACCTGGGTCTTCTGAGTCAAGAGTCTATCCTTTTACCACAACCCCAATTTCCCTGCCCACCCTGACTCCCCAAATTATAAAGAAGGGGGGTTTCTGTCCTTTCTGGGAAGGGAAGTGATTTCCCCACACTCTCACAACGCATATAGCAGAGCTGGAATTTAAAACCAGGCTGCCTGACACTGAGCCCAGCATTTGTGCCACAACTCCAAGAGCTGACTCTCAATGTTGTGCCAATGGGAAGTTGCACAGAAAACTACTAGACTGATCCAACCAGGGTCCTCTAAAGGTATTACACTCACTCCACAGTCATTCTACATAAGCATATGAGGAGACAACATCTGGTGATAATAAATATAAATCCAGACTTCCACTTCCAATCATGAAGCAGTACTAGGGACCAGACTTACCCTCCTGCCGTAAACAGAAAACTGGACAAAATATATGAAACAACTGTTTCATACATTGAAAACAGTAAGTGCAGGACTGTGGTTCCTCAGAGAAAGAAAACAAACAATATGAGTCCTACTACCACCCTGGCTTTCTGCTGAAGTACTTTCTGGACCAAGGAACAGGGTGAGGGGCTCTAAGCAGAGCACGGAGGTGTCAAATGGTTAAGGAGGCAGAGTCTGGAAGTCAGAGAGGCTGAGGTGGCTTGGAAGTTGCAGGGCAGAGCTAATAAGGCAATAAAGATAAAAATGAAATCATGAAAATACCCAATTAAACCAAAAGAAGGGAGAGAAAGACAGTAAAAAGGGAACAAGAAACAAAAAGGACAGACAGAAAATAGCAAGGTGGTAGACTTAAATCCAGTCATATAAATAATTACATTATTTGTAATTGGTAAACATTCCAGTTAAAGGCAGAGACTGTCAGACTGAATAGAAAAGCTGGCTACAAAAACTCATCTTAAATATAAAAGCACATATATGTTACAAGTAAAAGGATGGAACGATGTACCATGTAATCACTAATTTTAAAAAAGGTGAAGTGGCTATATTAATATCAGACAAAGTGTATTTCTAAACAAGGACCATTATCAGGGACAAAGAAGGACATTTTATAAGATAAAAAAGTCACTCCATTAAGAAGGCATAACAATCTTACATACAGAAATTCAAAATACATGCAACAAAAACTGACATAACTAAAAGGAGAAACAGGTAAGTGTAGAATTAGATTTGGAGACTTCCACACTGGTCAGTCAGTGATAGAACACACAGAGGGAAAATCAGTAAGTCACTGGAAGACTTGAACAACACTATCCACCAACTGGACCTAGCTGACATTTATAAAACACTCTCCTCACAACAAAATAGATATACTTGTCAAGTGCCCAAACAGACCTTATGGTAGGCCATAAAATAAGTATCAAGATATTTTAAAAGGGTTAAAATCAGAAAGGATATGTTCTCTGATCACAATGGAATTAAATTAGAAATCAACAACAGAAGAATTTCTGGGAAAAATCCCTTATATTTGGAAATTAAACATCATAACGCCTAATTAACTCACAGGTCAAAGATGAAATCACAAGAACTGAATGAAATTAAAAACACAACATATCAAAATTTGTGGGATGTGGCTGAAGTACTGATTTACAACTTTAAATGCTTATTTTAGAAAAGAAGAAAGGTCTAAAATCAATTATTTAAGCTTCCTTTTTAAAAAGCTAGAAAAGGAAGAGCAAATTAAACCCAAAGACAGTAGAAGGAAATAATAAAAAGCAGAAAGCAATAAAACAGAAAACAAAGAACAGAGAAAATCAATGAAACCAAAAGGTGGTTTTTGAAAAGATCAATACAACTGATAAATTTCTGTCTAGATTGATTAAGGAAAAAAGTGGAGAAAACAAAACAAAATAAAACAAAAAACCAACCCACGAATTATCCATACCAGAAATGAAAGCAGGGGCATCTCTACAGATCCTATAAACATTAAAAGTATTTAAGGAAATATGAACAACTTTATGCCAATTCACTTGACAACCAAGATGAAATGGATAAATTACTTGAAAAACATGGATTATAAAAACGGACACATAAGGAATTGGAAACTTTGAATAGTCCCGTATCTATGAAAGAAATTGAATTCATAATTAAATAATTTAGTGCAAAGAAAATTCCAGGCCCAGAGATGGCTTCACTGGTGAATTAAATCAAAGACTTAATCAAGAAACAATACCAATCCTACACAAACTCTTTAATAGGAGGGAACACTTCCCAGGTCATTTTATGAGCTCAGCATTACTCTGATATCAAAACCAAAGACATCAAAGAAATCTGCCACGGACCACCTGTGTGACCCGTGTAAGATATTTAACCTCTTTTTACCTCAATTTCCTCAACAGTAAAAAGGGAATCATAATTATATCCTGTACATAACTGAGGTTGTTTTGAGGATTTGATAATATATGCAAAGCACATAGTTACTAGCACTTGGTAAGTACTCAAGAAACATTAGCTATTATGTGTCAGGAATCACTGGTTCTCCTCTACTCATGTTTCTGATGTAGTTATGACATCAATTCATAGCTTCCTGTTCCATATTTACTAAGGAGACAGTGTGGCTTCGTAGAACAAGCCTGGGCATTCCAGTCAGATGGGCCTGGGCTAGATTCTGGCTCTGCTGCTTTCTGGGTGCCTTCACCCCTCTGAGCCTCTACTTTCCTGACTTGTTAAAACAATTTTCATCCATAAATAGGGCTCATGCTACTTTCCTTACAAGGCTGAAGTAAGAATAAGAGACAGTGGAGTTTATTAAAGTGCTTATTATAGTGCATGGCATACAGATCATAATAAACGGGAGTTCATAATATTATTATTTCTCACCTCTGATACCAGGAATGTAACCTAGTTCTTTGACTACTATGTCAAGAAGTCTACGATCTACCTTAAACTAGCGGGACATTAATGTTATTATTGGGCCTGTCAGACTACAAAAATGTAACAGTTCAAACTGAAATCCACCTGGAATTTTAGTCTAAGCTGCCTCTTATGATAACTGCATCACAGAACACAAAGACTCTGCTTTTTTTCTTCCTTTTTGCATGATCCACGGTTGTTATGAGGGCCATCTTAGGCATACACCTCTGGCCTTGCTTCAGTAGTCCCTGCTTGGTGTCCACTCCACTCCTTCCACTTACTAGGAAGAAATGCCTGAACAGTGAGGGAATGCCCCATAAAGTGCTTCTACAAAGAGAGACAGGATATGCTGGGAATTAGCACCAGAGGGAGGAAACTCAAACCTCATGAACAGACTGCAGTTAAGCCCAAATTCGGTGAGATCTCTAGGTTTCGGTCACTGAGGGCTAATGACCTTCAAACATGTTTCCTGCAAAAACTGGAGGAAGGTACCTTCCCAGTTACATGCAGCTATCTGTAGCTGACAATCAGAGGGACACAGAGGGAATTTAACACTGTCTGTGCCTGATTTTTTTCGGTAGTGTGTTTCATATAATCAAATCATGTAATTCTCACTATTACTCTGTGAACACAGCTATTATTCTGCCTCCCCAGAATTTACAGGGTGTCCAAGGTGGGCTTGAAAGTAGAGTAGCTGGTATTAGAACTCAGGTCTGTCCAACATTTTCTACTTCATTACCTAATTTCTAAAAACAATAAGAATAGCAAATACTACCATCTCTTTCTCTTTTTATCTGATATGTGAACCACTTTGAGAATCTTATGAAAGCACTGATTTTCTACCCAAAGAACTGCATTAGTGTACCAATTTTTCAAGACCTCCTGAAGTCACGGACCCTATGGGATTTGAAGAATCATGTAAGTCCTCTTTACACCCTGAAGAGCCTGAGCCTATCCCTAGAACCTTAGGAAACCAGTGAGCAGAAAAGCAATCTTAGAAGGCTAGTAGGAGAATCTTAATTAGGGGCTGCCAAACTAAGGCCCATGGGCCAAATCTGGCCCACCACCTATTTTTGTAAATAAAGTTTTACTGCAACACCTTTGACCTAAATCATAAATGAGAGATTACACTTCTTCTAAGGGAAGCCAGCAGTAAAGAAAATGGACAAGCACCCTGCCAGGAAAGCCATCATCTCAAAATTCTTAAGAGAAGCAAAGAAAAACAGAACATTTGCTAACAGAAACTACTAATAGAATTGCAAGTTGCCAGGGCACTGAGCTGCACTGCAACCGGCAATGCTTATTCAATAGGCACACAGTATGCAGGGTAACAAAATCTTTCTTGTTTTAGGAAGCCTCTGTTAAGCATAAAAATTAGCCAAAAGGTCTCTTAATCAAACGTTTGGGAAAGGAGTCAAAGACTGTGTGCACAGTAAGAGAAGGCTGTGGTGAGAAGGGCTTAATTTTAAAGACATTATCAAGAATCCCGGAATGAAAGGCTGATACAAGTTGTAACACAAGAGAGAAACTTCGTAAAGTAACTAGCTACAACAACCATCACTAAAATTCCAGAATTTCATTTGATTAAGAGAGAAATAAAGTGTTTCAATATGATCTTTCAGACTGGTTAGACTTACATTATCCAGGTCCTTTCGCAGTGCAATTTTGCTGGTCACCAGCTCATGGGCTAAATCATCGTTTTCTTGTTCCAACCTCATGTTAGCTTCCTGCAGACGTCTATTCTCCCGCTGAAGGGTAGAAAGGAACCAGTTACAGACACATAAAAATCAGACTGAATTGTCATTTTCTCAGGACTAAACTTCAAAACTAATTTCTGAGCTCTACAGAAATACTGGAGTATGTGGCTGGACCTGGTGAGTTTCCGATCAACAATTACTTATTTTCTATTCTTCAATAAAGAAATACTTAACTGATTCAAGTGACCCTGTCAAGCAGCTATTTCTTATTAATGATGATGAAAGGCCACTGAACTGCAACAAACGAGGCAGCTGGTTTAAAACAAAACAGATCTTGCTTTCTCATTTGCAAACTCAAAGTGAAACTTGAACAGTGGAACTGAGTTTTGAAAGGTGCTTGATAAAGCTAGTTACAGGCATGATTACAGGACGGGCTGAAAGCTTCTCACATCATCCAGACCGTAAGCAAACAAACCTCAAATCGCTCTATGGGGTCTTCCTGTTGGGCCTGCTGTTCTCTCATGGTGTGATATTCTTTTTCATATTTTTTCAACTTCTTCTGACCAATCTGTAGGACAAACCACAGTACAAATTAAAAGGTATCAAAAAGTAGTGGGTGCTTCAGGGCCTGCACTGAAGACCAATACCTCTGCTGACCTGGGCTTCCCCAGTCACAATGAAAGTAGTGTTTCCTCTTTTTGGAGGGCAATCAGTGGGGCACAAGCCCATGATCCAAATTCTAACTCAGTGACTATCGTTGTCCAGGGTCATGTTGGGGATCTTTGGTTCCTAAGATTTTTACTGATAGCATTAGAATGAGTACCCCACTGATGGCCCCTGCCATCTGAGTTCTAGGTCCTACTAGTCAATAATTAACTATCATTTTATTTAGCACATACTAAAGCACTACTAAGTACTTTAAATCTGTGACCTCATAGTGCCTCTACAAGGTATACTATTATCATCCTCATTTTACAGGCAAGTTAACTGAGGTAAAAAGAAGTTATACAACTTGCCCAAGGCCACTCAATTAGGGACCGGCAGATCTGGGATTTGAGCCCAGGCAGTTGACTCTATCCTCAGTCTAAGCTTGTAGTCACTTCACTAGTCTACCACCTTTATCACCTGTCCTCTCTACTAGTTCCTGTGATGCTTTCAAATAGGCACAATTCTCTCTGCCCTTAAAAACACAGCTATCTGACCACTTAACTACCCTTTGGCCCCATCAAACTACTATCCTCTTTCTCTCAAGCTGTCTCCTACCAACCATTACAAATCTCTGGCCTATACTTCTCACCTCCACTGCTTCATGGCCCCTCTCTCAGTCTCTCCAGATCAGGCTTTTGCCCTGATTACAGAAAGTACTCTCTTGAAGGTCACCAGTGATTTCTTTTTCACTCCATCAGTGGTCCTACCTCTCCTAACTAGACCTCAAAACTCCTTGATTTTCATGCTTCAACATGACCAATCCACTTCTCTTCCTTCTAGGAAATTTCTTCCCTCCTTTATTCTCTTGACTCTCCTTCCACCTAACAGATTCCCCACCCCCGTCTTTTACGGGCTGACTCCTTACTGTTCTTTAATCTAAACCATAACCTAGGGCATCCCTTCAAAATACAATCTTAGTCTTTTCTTTGATTCCTTCTTCCTTACTACTAGCTGATTCCCTGTGGTGTTTTTAAAATTACTTTAAAAAAAATTATGAGATATAACAAATAGAAAAGAGATAGAACAGCTAAGTGCAACTTAAAGAACAATTCTAAAGCTAACACCCTGCTCATCCATTCTCAGAGCTTCAGTTATGAACACTACGCTGCAACCTCACAAACCTTTTAGTCCTCCGTTCCAGGTAACTAGGGCTCTCAGAGCGAGTCTGGTCCATCTTCCTTACTTTATAGATGAAGAAACTGAGATAGGCCCAGATTTGCAGTGTGTTGGCATCCGTGCCTCCAATTCCCTGTCCCCATATTCCCTTTTCCATCTTCCTTGAGCTGCCTGATATACCTCTCCTACTGACTGGGGACACCTCCCCTAGTTGGGGTATTTACATGCCTGCTTCAACTGGAGCTCTATTACTGGAGTCTGGCTGCTGCCCAAGGGGAGGCAGCCAGGAGAGTAACACTCTGCCCTAGCTGGAGTCTATAGAAAGATGCCCATTAAACACTTGGGGTGAGGCCACAAGCTGGAGAGCCAGGCCTTTTTTAAACTCAAATCTGCGGTTTAAGGCCAATGCTGGGGTAAACTTTTACTGTGCACCTAAGTGATTCACAAAGAAAGCGCCTAAATAAAACGTGTTTGATCAATAAATTTATAAACAATTCTAACAGATCAATAATAGAGGAAGTGAAAATAAATGAGGCTTGTGAGCAGCAAACACCTCCTCTCAGGGCTCTTTGCTATTAGTCTTGGTAAGTGACGAGAGAGGGCAGTGGGCATGAAGCTCCCGTTAGTGTTTTCCAAAAAAAACAAAAAGACACAAAATCCTAAAAAACATTTTGCCAAATCTGCAGGATTCTTCAACTTTTCATTGTTATTCTAGGGTAGGGAAGAATTAACGTTTTTCCCCTAGCTCCTCCCCTATAAACATGTATTTTAAAAGGCTGATTATAATTTCTTCTACATTTCATTATCCCTTACTATAACTGCCTCATACCCTCTGCAAAAGGGTTGATTTTGCAAAACGCTCTTTTGCAAAAGGGAGCTCAGCCCTATAACAGTGGTAGGTACCTGGTAAAACCCTACAGGGTAGTTCTACTCTGTCCTATAGGGTCACTATGAGTGGAATCGACTCAACGGCAGCAAGTTTCATACATGCTATCTCATTTGGTTCTGCACTGAACATGAATTTTTTTTTTTATAGTTTTACAGTTAATAAAAACACAATAAATGCTGTTTAAAAATAATTCTCGTAATTATTCTGGGCCTCTTTGGGCAAAAGACAGCTCTGCAAATTCCTCTAGATGACGGTCTCCATTGAGCTTCTGAATCAATCCTCAGGGCCCACCTCTCAGGACTGGAGAAGACACAGCTCCCCGTCCTCTGCAGAGCCTGCAATCCCAGAGTTCTGACTGACTCCACCAGCTTAATGCCATCTCCCTGCACCTCAGCCTCACCTGTTCCCGCATCCTCCATCTTTCTTTCATTCCCTTCTGTAAGCCCCCACAACACAAAATAAATATACACAGCCCTGCTTATAATGGATTCACAGCTGATCCTGACTTTTGGAGCATGGATATCTGCATATCAGAGCCAACTAGTTCAGGCTGCCTCTGAAGCACAGAGCCCAGGAAGAAGATTGATGCCTGATACCTGGATGGGGACCAGGAGAGGCCAGCAACAAAAGCAATAATTCAAACCTCCTTATGAGGATGCATGCTGGGGACACCAGCACCTCTCAGCCTGCCTGTCATATTACTGATGTCTTCTCCAGGCCAGAACTATGCCTTACTTATCATTATGCTCTGCCCATACCCACAGGGAGTGCCCGGGAATGCTTGATAATTAATGAGAAAAGACTCTTTCATCCCTGCACTAACCTTTCTTCTGAATGGAAAATGACAACCAAAGTGGACATATAATGGAAGCCTATTCCCTTTGCCTGAACAACCCACACCTGGTTAACTCCCATTAAAAATCTTTCGGATTAGAGCTCTGACATCACTTCTTTAGAGCCTCCTTCTCTGACACCGCTCACCCCCAATTAGGCCAAGTATTTCTGTTACATACTTTCATAGTATCAAGTCTTTGTCCTCCATGGCACCTATCCAAGTTTACAATTATTTATTTATGTGCTTACTTGTCTTTCCACTTGGAAAGAGGCCAAAGGCCACATCTGTTTTGCCTACCACTGTATCTCCAGTGCCTAGCATACCTGGAACATATTCAGGACTCAATATGCAGATATGGAACAAACGAAAGCTGAAGGCCTTCCCTTTAATCTAATAAGGATGCAGTAGAAGCATTTATCTATCTAACCATTGAGTACTACTATGCACAGTGTTCTTTGCTAAGATTAGAGACACAAACGTACACAGATCACAGAATGCAAACTCCACAAGGATACGGGCTCATTCACTGTGAAATTCCTAATGCCTGGCACCCAGTAAGCATGAAAATACTTAACAAATGGAGACATACCCCACTCTCAGAAGTCCAGGGTTCATTTTGTCTCTCTCTGCCTTATATGAGTATTATTTTAATTGAATTCAGGAAGCAGGGGAATCTATGGAATCAGCCCCAGAGCTCTGAATCACACTCACTGTTAGCTGACTTGTATCAGAAGGCTACTGGAAATCACAGCCTCATACAGAGGTATTACTGCCCTCAGAAGAAGATTAAATTTCAAATTTAATCTTCATTCTGTTTAAATGTGCTTTCTGGGGTGGGGGGGGGGGGGAAGAGGTAGGTATAATTTCCTGGGATTATACTTGGGAAATTAAGACTGGGTCTATAATTTAGAAAAAATCCATTTTATACCCTCTACTGCAATTAGCACAGTGGTTCTTTACACGGTTAGGGACAGCACTACCATGAGAGTCTCCTGAGAGCCACAGCTCCCCACCATAAAAGTGCACAGAAGGTAACCACCCTCGCCCCCCATAAAAGTACACAGAAGGTAACCACCCTCACCCCCCATAGAAGTGCACAGAAGGTAACTACCCTCACCCACCATAAAACTTTCTACATACAATTTCAGAGGCTTCATGGGCCCCCAGAGGCCCATCCATGGTCCCAGGTTAAGAAACACTGAATTAAAGCAGAAACTGGAGATTTGGAACATGCTAGTTTGATATTTTCATAGAAACATGAATTTGTCCAAAACACCTCCCCTTTGGTCGCTCATCATTAATATGGCACAGGAAATGGACAATGCTATCTCTTAAAATACGTGCCACCTGCCCTGAGGAAGCTACTCTCTGACTAGCCTCCAGAACAGGCAGTGATGTCATGGCCATGCAAGAGGAGAAGGAGTGTTGCTGCTGACTCCAGCAGGAAGGAGGTGGTACAGCCTGCTAACTAAGAGCTTGGGCTCTGCAACAGGACAGACCAAGGCTTGCGTCCTGGCTCTACCAATGACTGACTTTATCTGTGACCATGGGAAAGCTGCCTAATCTCTCTAAGCCTCAGCTTCCTCATCTGTAAAAATCCTAACAGTCTTTAGGTGAAATATTTTTATGAGGATCAACTGATACAAAATATAAAGTGTTTGGCAGAGCACCTGGCACACAGTAAGGTCTTTTCAATAAATGCTAGCCATTACTTGTTGTCATTATTACCTGGCATTCTGACCTAGATCAGAGACAGAGCTATCTTCTGAACATGGGCTGCAAACAATAAGTCATTTAAACAAAATCCATTTAAGACTGAAGAGAATGAAATAAGCTGCCCTTTGGAAGAGAAACTGATTTCCAAGTTTGGTTTAAGAAACTGTTGCAAAGGTCTGAATCCCTGGTGGGCTGGAGTCACAGGGGTCCAGAGAAGGTGGGAGGTTGAATGTTAGTAGTTGTGCATGGTCAGTTGGGCAAGTTTGATGTGTGTTGTGTGGGTGGGCAGTGGGGAACAGGACGC